AAAACAGGTAAGTAATTTAACTATGTGAAAAGTAATTACAATAAAATTGAAGATCAAAAACAGAAGAATAAAGAATACAAGAATAAAGATTTTATTTCTTTGCTAAGGTTACAGTGTTTAATTGTAATTTTATTTTTGTTAAGTACAAAGAAAGCCAAGCCCATGAGGATTCTCTTCAAATCGCTTGTTCTCTCAAGGCAGGCCTGAGTAGATCTATAACCCACTATGATAACATGAACGTAGATAAGTATGTTTATGGAGCAACGTGCAATGTGAACAGACTGACTGATGTTGTAGTGGCCAGGCTTAGGCTTGGTTACAAGTACTTCTGGCAGTTTGGGAGACACACAGATGATGATCAAACTAAATGTAAATTATGTGATCAGGCATATGGTCACTGTCTTGAACACTATGTGCTTAATTGTCCACTTACTGAGGAATACAGAGACAGACAGTATAATAACCTATGTGACATGTCAAGATATCTTATTAATGAAAATAAGATAACAGATATTCTAAGCAAATTTCCTAAATTTGCTTGTAACAGATAAGTGAACTATAGATATGTAGATATAAATCCATATGTATTCCTGTTAACCCTTTGGGGCCTAGTTCCTAGGCCTTATGTGTATCCATATGCTCTTGTTCTACCGTCCACAGGATGGATATGGGGTGCACAGTAAACTAGCCACTTCAGTGGCAAAATCTAATCTCAAGGCTAGAATACTGCTGTACACTAACTGCCCCCTTCAAGGCAGGCGAAATTGCTGACCTGGAGAATGTACAAAGAACTTTCACAGCACACAAGTATGATAAAACATCTAAATTACTGGGAACGGTTGAAGTCCCTTGATCTGTATTCCCTGGAACGCGGGCGAGACAATTACATGATAATATACACTTGGAAAATCCTAGAGGGGTTAGTACTAAACTTGCACACGAAAATCACTCCCTATGAAAGCAAAAGACTTGGCAGGAGATGCAACATTCCCCCAATGAAAAGCAGAGGCACCACGAGTATACTGAGAGACAACACTATGAGAGTCCGGGGCCCAAGATTGTTCAACTGCCTCCCAGCATACATAAGAGGGATTACCAATAGACTCCTGGCTGTCAGTATTTGACCAGCCGGTCTGTGGTTCGTACGTCAGTTTGCATGTAGCCAGCAGTAACAGCCTGGTTGATCTGACCCTGAGCCACCACGAGGCCTGGTTTTAGACCGAGCCGCTGGGGCGTTGACCCTCGAAACCTTCTCCAGGTATACTCCAGGTATCATGCCAGGGCATTTTGCAGACTAATCCTAGTACAAATTAACTACTCATATCTAGACAAGATAAGAATGGTTAACTTTTTAAAAAATCCCAATTTAATCACAGTTAAGTAATTCAACTATGTTAAAAAGTAGATATCACCTCGACAAAGAAATATGGATCCCGGGTTATAACCTATACTGATGCGACAGAGTGAACAAGCAAAAGGGAGGGAGGGAGGGAGGGTTGGCCTGTATATCAGAGTCGCTGATATGCTCGGAACTACTAAATGCCTCAAATGATGTAGCTGAAGTTTTGGCAGTAAAGATCGAGAACCAAAACCTGGTCATTGTGGTTGTATACAAGCTTCCGGATGCAACTTCCCAACAATTCCAGGAACAGCTTTTGAAAATTGAACACTGTCTGGAAAATCTTCCAGCTCTGGCTAGTGGCTCATTACTTTGTAATTTGTTCATGACTGTAACCATGTATAGGAGTGAGGCTGATTCATTACCTTTGAAACTTTCCATGATTGTGACCAGATCTACCTGGAGTTCATTACCTTTGTAACTAGTTCAGCTATCATAACTTTGGGGTCCAGTCCCTGGACCCATTATGTACCTCTGTAATCTTTTGACTACCGCCAACAGGATGGGTATGGGGTGCATAATAAAGATATTAAACTATCTAACTCCTGCTACCAGCATCTTACTCCTGGGGGATTTCATCTAAAATCTTGGAATGTTGCAAATAATGTAGCAGAGATAAGACGATTCAGCTCAGATGAAAACTCACACACACGAGCTTTTAAATCTCTGCACCAGATTCACCTTAAACCAGCAAATAATAGAGCCAACAAGATTGTAGAATACACTGGACCTCATCTTCACTAACAATAATGGTCTGATACGAAATATTGCCATATCAAAAACAATATACTCAGATCACAACATAATAGTGGTTCAGACATGTATGTGCGGGGCCCCAAACCAACAAAATGTGATCAGTCTTGAGGGAGCCTTCACCAAATTCAACTTCAGTAACAAAAACATAAGGTGGGACCATGTAAACTTGGCCCTAAATGATATAAACTGGGAAGATAGCCTAAGCAACATGGACCCAAATCTGTGTCTAGAAAAATTACCTTTGTGGCACTTGAGTTATGCTCAAGGCATATTCCTTTAAGGAAGAGGAAGAGAAGATACCCGGAGTATACCTGTAGAGAGTTCCGGAGGTTAACGCCCCTGCGGCTCGGTCTGTGTCAGATATGAGGATGAGGAACAGGATTTTAGTGAGTACTGTGCCTTGTGGAATAGAGCTTTCACCGTAGCCGTCTCAGACTTTACTGTTTACTACTACTCTTTGTGTTCTGTGTGTTAGGAAATTATAGATCCATCTATTACACCATGGTCACCCTTGTCAAAGGTTTTTGCAAAGTCTGAATATACTACATCTGCATTTCATTTTTCTTCTAGTGCATCCAGGACCTTGTCATAGTGGTCCAGTAGTTGGGACGGACAGGAACGACCTGCTCTGAACCCATGTTGCCCTGGGTTGCGTAACGGATGGGTATCTAGACGAGTGGTGATCTTGCTTCTTAGAACCCTTTCAAAGAATTTTATGATATGGTCTGTAGTTCTTTGCTATTGCTTTACTGCCCCTTTGTGGAGTGGGGCTATGTCTTGTTTTTAGCAGCTGTGGGACGACCGCTGTATCCATGCTTCCTCTCCATAGGATGTTAAAAGGTGCTTCTTGCAGTTCTTGATGAACACGGAGTTCCATGAGTTTGGACCTGGGGCGGAGTGCATGGGCATGTTATTTATCGTCATTTGGCGTCAGGATAATATCAGATAGGTTTGAGGTTACCAAATGCTGTGTCTCACTCATAAAAAATTTATTTAGGTCTTCGACTCTCAGTCTGGTTAGCGGCTCGCTAAAAACTGAGTCATACTGGGACCTGAGTAGCTCACTCATTCGCTTGCTGTCGTCTGTGTAGGACCCATCTCGTCTAAGTAGGGGTCCAATGCTGGATGTTGTTCTTGAGTTATATTTGGCATAAGATAAGAAATATTTTGGGCTTCTTTCAAATTCATTTATGGCTTTTAGTTGTTCCGAGTTTCTTCACTCCTGTAAGATTCCTTTAGCTTAAGTTCGATGTTTGTTAAGAATTAATCTAAGTTTGCTCGAAATGCCTAGCCATGCTAGGTGTTCTAGTGGCCCCCTCTGTAATTAGTATTTTATTACAAGTAAACCTCACAATAACCAAAATCTGTAAACCCAGCATTGTAATCCTTATAGAGAATAAACTTTGATTGCTATTTCTCTGACCAGTGCCTCCCTTCGTATTACAGATATAGTGACCTCTTAGCCGCTCTGTTATTCTTCGCCTTCTCCTGTATAGGGAGTGCCTTTCTCTTTCTAGTTTACATCTTCTCTTCCCTTTCCCTAAAGGAATATGCCTTGAACATTCCTCTAGTGCCACAGTGTTAATTTTTTCTAGACATAGGTTTGGATAGGTGTTGTTTAGGATGTCTTCCCAGTTTATATCATTTAGAACCTGGTTTACTTGGTCCCACCTTATGTTTTTGTTACTGAAGTTGAATTTGGTGAAGGTTCCCTCATGACTGATCACATTTTGTTGGGCTGGAGCCCTGTGCATACATGTCTGAACCACTATTATGTTGCGAGACACTTTTAGTGATTTTAATGGGTACCTGCTTGCCAGGATGATGTGTAAGTTTATTTAGGTACAGGTACACATATGTACAGTTGTCAGAGTATATATAAAATACGCAATAACTTGAATTTTTGATAAGTTTCCAGGCATAATCAATAGACGTTGTTCTCAGAGGATGTAAATAGACAGTGGCGCCGTATAAATGAATTTTTGGTTGTAATTTGAAATGTCCATAATAACTTAAAGCGAAGCACCTTAAAGCAGGGCCCTCCTTTATAAAGTACTGTACTCCACTTTATAGAAATAAATTTTATTCATTTGTTTCACCAGTACATAGAAATTGGATTTTCTTATTGGCCAAACATAAAGTAGTTCATATTATTAGGAAGTATGTTTTGAACATTCTCTTGAAATATGAACTATTTTTAATGAAAGTCATGAAATGTTCTGTGAATGCATGATTGTTAACACAATTATCCTAATTTACTTTAAGTGAATTACATACATTTTATTTACAGTTTTAATACTTCCATTATTTATCTAAATATCAGAAGCTAAGCTGAGAATACCGTAAGAGTCAACTACTGTAGTTTGCCAAGATCTACTTGGCTCTCACACTGAGGGTCTGGGATCGATCCCCGGCACCGACAAAACGTTAAGCATGTTTCCTTACACCTGCCTGTGTTCACCTAATATTAAGTAGGTACCTGAGTGTTAGCCAACTGTTGTGGGTTGCATCCTCGTGGACAAGATTAACCCAAATTGACCAAAATGCTCAACATTACCAGGGGCTTTCTTTATAGTATGCAAGTGATGTCAGTTAAGTCTGTATTGGTTATATCATGCACTTGTAGAAATAAAGATTATTGCTGTATATGATTGCTATTTTGCTCAGGTTGTGACAATAACTAGCTCCTGTGAGCAGCTTTCAAAAATTGATGAAAATAAGCTTTAGCTGCTGTACTTAGAGAAAAGTTAGTCATTATAAGAGAACACCAACCTAAAGAACTAATGAATGAGTGTGTTGTATATTTCAATTTTTCTATAATATTTGTTTATTGATATTACTACAGACAGCAGCAACCGAACCATTTGGAGAACAAGCAGAGAACACAGTAAGGGTGAACTTTTTCGGCACTCTTGCAGTGTGTCGTTCACTTTTTCCCCTCTTGCGACCCCATGCAAGAGTGTCAACAGTCTCCAGCTCTGCTGGTCATCTCTTGAACATTAATGGAGATGAACCTGCAGCATCAGCTCTTAGACAGAAGTTTTCATCCCCCTCACTGACAGAGGAAGAACTCTGTGATTTAATGAACCAGTTTGTCAAGTAAGAATTTGGCTGATTGCAGAATAAATGTCATGAACAGACTATTGTATTGAAAAGCTTTGTGTATGTGATTTTTGTTTTAAGTATGAGGGTTAGAAGGCTTTTGAGTTGGTTTAAAAAAAAAAAAAAACATTTATGCATAAAATCAAAGCCGTAACTTATTAAAAGATACATATTTATTTGAGAAGCGGCAGATGGCATGTGCAGCACCTGGGTTATACATTAGTCTGTTAAAAAACTTAATTTTAACAGACTAACAGGGCAAAGGAGTGTATGATAATGCCAGTTGTCTGCAACTCCCGAATTATGAAATTTAAATTCAAATTCAAATTCATTTATTTCTTCACAAGTAGTACATTGAGATAATATGTTTACAATGATGGGTTACAGTGCAACGAGAGCCTCTATTATGCCTTGGCATTATGGGCTGACTTAATTAATGGCTTACTGACTACTTATCACTGAAGAAATTATCATAGTTGTACAGTAGTTCTTTTAATAAGTGAATCTAATTTATACAAACCAAAGGATATATTCATGTATTAAAAATGTTTTTTTATGAAACATGATTCAGGAGTAGTTTACAGTATGAGACTGCTACAATTTGAAGGGCAATACTGATTTTGGTAGGTATTTATACTACTTTGTGGTAATTTGTCAATATATGAGCTTGGTTGTCTAGTTATGAAGTTTTAAGATTTAGGTAATTGGTAGATTTATTGGTAGTGTTAAATAATGAGTATTGTGTATTTAGTCTAGGGTGATTAAGTGGCTTTTGAGAAGAGTCTTAAATTGATTTTCAGACCGGGTTACTTTGGTATTTTCTGGTAATGAATTCCAAATTTTGGGGCCCTTTATGTGCATAGAGTTTTTACACAGTGTGATGTGGACACGGGGTATATCAAAAAGAGATCTGTCTTGTGTTATGGTCGTGTGTCTTGTTTAGATTGGCTAAGAAAAGTTTGAGTGGAGGGTTTGTTTGCTTATATTGTTCTATGTATGTAGTAGGCACATGAATAAGTATGGATGTTCTTTAAGGTGAGCAGATTTAGACTTGAATATTGGTGGAGTATGCTGTCGGGAGTGGGAATTTGTTACCATTCTGAATGCTGCCTTTTGCTGGGTTATTAGTAGTCTTAGGTGATTTAATATTGTTAATCCCCATGCACAAATTCCATATGTGAGATAAGGGTAGATGAGTGAATGATACAGTGCAAGAAGGGCTGATTGTGGAATATAGTACCGTATCTTTGATAGTATACCTACAGTCTTAGAGATTTTCTTGGTTATTTGTTGTATATGTGTCTGGAACTTGAGGCGACTGTCAAGGTGGATTCCTGGGAATTTTCCCTCTGTGAGTCTTGTGACGGGTGATCGGTTTAGCGTTATGTTAATTGGAACATTTGCAGCTTTGTTTCCAAACTGAATGAAATAGGTTTTGTCAGTATTCAGTGTTAGTTTATTAGACATCATCCAGGCATATATTTTCTGCAATTCTGCATTGACTGTGTTGGCGAGTATGACTGGGTCTGAGTGAGAGAAGACGTATGTAGTGTCATCTGCAAATAATATGGGTTTGAGAAGCTGTGATACATTCGGTAGGTCATTGATGTAGATGAGAAAGAGGAGTGGGCCAAGGTATGTAGTGTCATCTGCAAATAATATGGGTTTGAGAAGCTGTGATACATTCGGTAGGTCATTGATGTAGATGAGAAAGAGGAGTGGGCCAAGGACGTTTCCCTGTGGGACTCCGACTGTGATTGGTTGTGTGGAAGAGTTTGCATCATTTGTGTACACATATTGGCTTCTGTTGCTAAGGTATGACTTTAGGTAGTTGAGGGAGTGGCCTCTTATACCATAATGTGTTAATTTAGTGTACAGCAGTTCATGGTCGACTGTATCAAAAGCTTTACGTAAGTCGATGAAAATTCCCAGCGGGACTTCCTTCTTTTCGAGAGCGGTATATATTAGTTCTAGCATGTGTATGATAGCATCATTCATGTGAGACGAGGTAGGAATAGATCCGTTTATGAAATCATTTTTCAAAGATTTTAGAGAGGAGTGGTTAGTTAGATATTGGTCTATAGTTATTCAAGTCAGCTTGTTCACCTCCTTTGTGTATCAGAGTGACCCTTGCTATTTTGAGAATCATTGGGAAAGCGGAGGATTCAATGGATTTGTTAAAGAGTGTTGCAATAATTGGTGACAATACATAAAAGTTGGAAAATTGATTATCTCCTGCCTTGTTTTTAAGGGTGTTGATTGCGAGACTTCTGTTGGGTTGGTTGGAGCTAGGAATAGTGTGTTCGGGTAGATGCTTGTGAGGTAGTCAGATGGACAGGTGTTTGAGTTTGGGATTTTGCTTGCTAGGTTCTTTCCTATGGTGGAGAAGAAAACATTAAGTCTGTTTGCTGTTTCTGTTGGTGTGAGTAGGGGTTCATCTGTTTTTTTGTTTATTTGATTGTTTTGTTTTTGGATATCTATTTAGTTCCAAGAATTTCAGATAGAGTTTTCCAGGTCTTTTTCATGTCACCTTTGATGGTTTGTAGTCTGTTTTCATAATACAATTTTTTTAGACCTTCTTATGAGGCTGGTATGAGCTGACGAGTAGTGTTTTGACTGGTTACTAGTTATTTGGCCCATTCTGTACTGTTTTTCATATTGGTGCTTTGTGTTAATGGATTAAAGATTGCTGGGTGTTAGCCAGGGACTATTTAGTCTCTTTGCTGTGAGCTGTTTAGTTTTCCTGTGATCTGGTTAGTTTTAGAAAATTATTTATGCATTCATTCATGTCTGTATATGTTTCCAGCTCATTTTGCCAGTCAGTGTTATTCATAGCTGCTATAAAGTTATTTACAGCTGTCTCGTTATGTAGTCTGAAGGTAACTTTAGTAATGCCTTGGGGCAATTTACCTAGATTGGTTATGAGAAAGGTTGGGTAGTGGTCTCTGGTGTTGTCTGTGATTATGCCTGATTTTAAAGGGGTTATGGGGTTAGTCCAGATGTGGTCTATTAAGGAGACACTGGTCTCAGAGATTCTTGTAGGTTTAGATATTGTTGGTAGCAACAGGCAGTTGCTTATGGTGTTTGTGAATTCGGTTACTTGGGGGTCTTGGTTATGTTTACCTGGAATTTACCTGGAGAGAGTTCCGGGGGTCAACGCCCCTGCGGCCCGGTCTGTGACCAGGCCTCCTGGTGGATCAGAGCCTGATCAACCAGGCTGTTACTGCTGGTTGCATGCAATCCAATGTACGAGGCACAGCCCAGCTGGTCAGGTACCGACTTCAGGTGCTTGTCCAGTGCCTGCTGGAAGACAGCCAGGGGTCTATTGGTAATCCCCCTTGTGTATGCTGGGAGGCTTGGGACCCTGACACTTATTGTATTGTCTCTTAACGTGCTAGTGACCCCTGCTTTTCATTGGGGGATGTTGCATCGTCTGCCGAGTCTTTTGCTTTCGTTGTGAGTGATTTTCATGTGCAAGTTCGGTACTAGTCCCTCTAGGATTTTCCAGGTGTATATAATCATGTATCTCTCCTGCCTGCGTTCCAGGGAGTACAGGTTCAAGAACTTCAAGCGCTCTCAGTAATTGAGGTGTTTTATCTCCGTTATGCACGCTGTGAAGGTTCTCTGTACATTTTCTAGGTCAGCAATTTCACCTGCCTTGAAAGGTGCTGTTAGTGTGCAGCAATATTCCAGCCTAGATAGAACAAGCAACCTGAAGAGTGTCATCATGGGCTTGGCATCCCTAGTTTTGAAGGTTCTCATTATCCATCCTGTCATTTTTCTAGCAGATGCGATTGATACAATGTTATGGTCCTTGAAGGTGAGATCCTCCGACATGATCACTCGCAGGTCTTTGACGTTGGTTTTTCGCTCTATTTTGTGTCTGGAATTTGTCTTGTACTCTGATGATGATTTAATTTCCTCATGTTTACCATATCGGAGTACGTAATTGAAATTTCTCATCGTTGAACTTCATATTGTTTTCTGCAGCCCACTGAAAGATTTGGTTGATGTCCACCTGGAGCCTTGCAGTGTCTGCAATGGAAGACACTGTCATGCAGATTTGGGTGCCATCTGCAAAGGAAGACACGGTTCTGTGGCTGACATCCTTGTCTGTGTCAGATATGAGGATGAGAAACAAGATGGGAGCGAGTACTGTGCTTTGTGGAACAGAGCTTTTCACCGTAGCCATCTCAGACTTTACTCTGTTGACTACTACTCTTTGTGTTCTGTTTGTGAGGAAATTATAGATCCATTCTTCCAACTTTTCCTGTTATTCCTTTAGCACGCATTTTGTGCGCTATTACGCCATGGTCACACTTGTCGAAGGCTTTTGCAAAGTCTGTATATATTACATCTGCATTCTTTTTGTCTTATAGTGCATCTAGGACTTTGTCGTAGTGATCCAGTAGTTGAGACAGACAGGAGCGACCTGCTCTAAACCCATGTTGCCCTGGGTTGTGTAATTGATGGGTATCTAGATGGGTGGCAATCTTGCTTCTTAGGACCCTTTCAAATATTTTTATGATATGGGATGTTAGTGCTTTCGGTCTGTAGTTCTTTGTTATTGCTTTACTGCCCCCTTTGTGGAGTGGGGCTATGTCTGTTGTTTTTAGTAACTGTGGGACGACCCCCGTGTCCATGTTACTCTCCATAGGATGTTAAAAGCTCGTGATAGGGGCTTCTTGCAGTTCTTGATGAACACGGAGTTCCATGAGTCTGGCCCTGGAGCAGAGTGCTTGGGAATGTTATTTATGTAGTAGATTTATGTTGAAATCTCCTGTTAGAAGCAGATGGTCTTCGTTCATATGTGCATCAGCTATCAAGTTTCCTAATTTTTCACTAAAGTGGTAAATGTTTGACTGTGGTACTCTTTAGATGTTTATAACTGTGAGGGGTTTTTGCAGGTCTTTTGATTTAAATTTAGCTGTGATATATTCACCATGTTCATCCCTTGTGCAAGATTTATAGGTACATTCAAGTTTATTGGAGTAGTA